GGAACACTGAGCTATATGCCTGCCCTAATTTTAAAAATTATGATGTAATTTCTCTAAATTTTCAGGACTGGCCTGAAACTTGGGATTCTCTTGCCTCAGACTCTAGAACAGTTGGGGTTACCAGCAGGAACCAACATGGTTGCAAAGGCTAACTTCATTGACAGCGCTTTACGTCATGCTAAGTCAAGCTGCAGCTCCGGAGAGTGCAGTTCTATTTCCACAACACACTTTGAAATCTTTCTTGTCTTGTCTTGTCCTCAATTTACCTTTCACATTTGAAGAATGATCAACATAACTTGACTTTTATTATCATCTGGAAAATGAGTCCAAGTGGAGACTGGCGAAATCTGTAAATAGTTTACTGTGATTTCTAGGTAGGTAGTTACATGATGAGTGAACTTTATTTGTTTTCATTTTGCTTATGTTTTGTTATTCATTATTCTAAAATCAGTAGGTCTCATATTAAAAGAACAAAAATCCTTTCAAGTAAGAAATGTAATTGAAAGAAGGTGATTAGAAATAGAAATGAATGTCTAAAAGAATATATGTACTACAGATATACGTATATGCTTGCTTACCTTTTCGTACACTATTTTTTTTGTGACAACAGATTGCATAACACCATATAATCTAGTTCTTGCTTTTTGCACTTAGCATACTATGTTGAATGGATGCTGCAGATGGCACACTGGAGTCATGACAGAGTGATGAACACACTCAAAAGGAACAAGTTCTGGAGAAGACTACAGGCCATGGCAAACTAGAACTCACACCCCTTTGTGAGGAGTGTCACCATATTGGTTATCTGTCATGTGAGGATTTGTGCCCAAGATCATTATATTTTCTAATTTTTCCCAGAAATGCTGCAAGTCTGAATTTGTAAGTGCAATCTCACGTTTAACTGTTGACAATGAGCTCCTCATGGCTGTTGATTATTTGGGTCCAGCAAAACACATGTGCACTAGCTTACTTTGCAAGACCCCTTAGATTTCTTAGAGATAGGTTGAGAGGCAAACTTCACAAAATCTGCAACAGAAGTTCCACTTGAAGTGCTTCCTGTACCCAGAAAAGGCCGGCTGACTCAGGCATTGCAGAGCTAACCAGCAGTCTGTGTTCTAACAAGGGCTTGTCCATACAATCTCATTTGACAACTAAGGAAACGCATTTTTAATAGTGTAGTACCGCATGTAACCATAATAGTTCCTAATTATAACAATTCAAATTATAAAAGTATCATGCTTTGTTAAACTGTTCCTTTACTTTCAGATGGAGTTACTTCTAGATTTTTACCCTTACTTCAGTATGAATCACTGTGTTCGTGATTGAGATGTTCCCTTCCCAAATCAGGATTATTGGGTCTAATTTGGGTGCATTAGGTACTGTCAATTTTAGTACATAATATATATTGAAATTTACTTTTTAAAAAGTTACAAAGAGTCACACCTGGATATTATATTTTCCAAAATTTACAAGTTCTACACATTTTTTAAGTGTTTGCCATTCAAACTTAGATTCTAATTAAGAAATCTTTATTCCATGTTTATAAGCCTGTTTATACTTCCTCTACATGCAGGTGTTTATAGATTTGCACCAGCTGACAATAATGGTGTTGAAATTAGGGTAATGAATATATTCTGCAATATCTTCTTTGTACATACCTTCTTCCTAGGCTCCAATCTCTTCCCAAATCCTTGCTTCCTTTCGAGAAAGAGCCCAGGGAAGTCGCTAACTATCTTTCAGCATGTTATTTGGATCCTGTTTCCCTTTGGAACAATACTACTAATAATTATTATTATTTGCCATACAGGAGCTCAAACCCAGAGCCCGGCACAGGGTAGGCAAGCAGTCTACTTTAGGGCTGCAACGTTACTGCCTTACCATCTTGTGTTTTGAGAAAAGGTCATGATGAATTGATAAGAATGGTTTTGAACTTACTGTCCTCTTGCCTCAACAGTAGTTGGATTTCAAGTGGGCATCACGATGCCTGGCTGGGATTATTTTCACATGTTCATTTCCTTTGCCAATTTTGCTACTTGTTAGTCTACTTTTTTCTTGTATGCTCCATGTTGTCCTGCATAAATTTGCCTTATATGGCACTGAATTTAAACCAGTTATAAAACTGCTTAGTTTTCTTAACAATCTGATTTTCAAAATTTCATTTGATTTTAATCTTATTATCCATTTGAAAGAAGCAGCCCCATCTTAGACAGTCTTTCAGGAATTCACTTCAACATGCATTTTCAATATAAGGCCATTTTAAGTTAACTGCAAAGAAGCCACTAATGAATATTATTTTACTTTGTAAAATAACAGCAAAAGAACTATAAAGATATAAATAGTTTTATGTGCACATTAAAAACTTTCCAAACTGAAATGTAGACTTTTAGGGGGGATGGGGGAGCTTTCTCTAAAGAGTTCGGATTTAAAACCCCAAATGGGATTTCAAAATACAAGTAAATAAATGCCAAAGCTTCTTGGCCCCCGCTCTGCCATTCTACGCCTGAAATCCTGCCAAAATGAAATTTTCCATTCAAGAAGGCCTGGCACTTACTAAGCTGATTTTAAAAAGACATTCTCAGAAGTAGTAGAAACGTGGCGCAACTTCTGACATTGCTCTCTGCTGGACAGAAAAGCTGCCGCTGCAGCCGTTTTTACACCCCTGTAACATTTTCAGAAAAATGAATTTGCAACCCTTCCAAGGTCTTCAGTGACTGCATCTATTGGCTTTTCCCAATGCCCAGCACAGATTAACAGCCGGCGGGCTAGAAGCTAGGGTTTCACTGAGGAGCGAGGGACAGAAATGACAAGACAGAAAATGTCTCGCGGAGGGACCAGGCAAAGGACAGAGAAGTAGGGGAACAAGGGTGGGCCGGGAGATCGCTCGCAGAGGCGCACATTCATTTCAGGCTTACGCTGTTGAAACAAAGCAGCAGTGAGGACGGCCGCCTGTGCGCTGGGTGCATCACTTGCAGTGACTGTGAAAGTCAAATAGTTAACAGAGGACGCGGGCGGAGAACTCAAAAGGGAGAGTGTGGAGCCCCAGCCCGGGGGTGACCACGGGAGCAGAGTGCGGTGCTGGGGGCGAGAGGTGGAGGCTGGAAGGAGAACTCTCCACGCTAAGGTCCTTTCACCCTGCGGCGATAGAAATGGAAACTGGCACAGCAGAAGCAGAGACGCCAACTCCAAATCGCTAAGCTGGAAAACGAATCATTTTACCACCCAACTGTTGGCACTTTTAAAACCACTGCCTGGTTGAAGCAGCAAACGGAAGAACCTAAAACTTTCCTCCCCACATTTAGTCCTCTTCCTTTTGCGTAGCTTTATTTCCTAGGCTGTACACCCCGAATTATCCCCGAGTCCTAATTTCGAGTCTCTCTCTCTCTTTTTCCTGGCACGTTACTGTTCCCAGACCCAAACAAAGCTCCTTTTCCTCTTTTAGTATTTGTTTCACCGACTGGACAAAGAAGAGCTGCCAGGCATAAAAAAGTTATGTGGTTTGGGGAACTTGGGCCTTTGTTGTATCATTTCCCCTTGCCCCTCCACGCCCCCAAGCACGTGACCCAGAATGGCCGGAATTTTGTGAATGGAGCAGAAAGGTGGCTGAGGGGGCGGGCGGGACTCCGCCCCCTTCCCTTAAGCGGCCAATCGCCTAGCGGAGCGCTGCGGGGTCAGCAATAAACAACAATGGGCAGGGAATTTATCGTTCCTTATTGGCTGCGGCAAGAACCTCGCGGGGACCTAGCCTGAAGCTCCGCCCACTCCGGTTACCCCGGATACCCGTGGGGTTCAGGCCTCAAGAGAGGTCTTTGGAAACTGTTGCTCGGATTACAGGGCTGGGTTACTCCATAAGCACGCAGTGACGGTGCCTTTGGGATTGTCCCTGTCCTGGTCGCACCTTCATGAAATCCTGGAGAACCTCGTTATTCCAGTTCGGGGTCCAGGCGGCGCCCGGAACCCCCACCCCCACCTCCACCCCCACCCCCACCCCCACCCCCATCTTTTGCCCGGCTACAAAACTGTTCCCGCCCAAAACACTGGCAGAGACGCGCGGGCTGCACGCCGATGCTCCGTTACAGGGAATGCTGGGGTACGCGCTTGCCTGGCACAGTCCCTGCTCGCTTCCCCAGAAATCGGTGCTGACTTTTTTGTTCTTGACACCGGTCCTGCCCGTCCTGCAAGGGTTCAGAGTGAGTCTGGGCGCTCACACTACATTTTAGTGCGGCTCGGTGAGGTTCCGCGAAGAGAAGGAAACTTTGAGATACAAACTGAGAAGGGCAGGACCTAGCCCAACCGCAGACCGGCCACAGGGAACGTCCTAGGGTCGCTGGTCCGCCGGGCACCGGGATCATGGTGCCTTTCTGCACGGCGCAGTCCCTGGCCCCTTCCCCTGGATCCCCATCTCCCACGGGGCCGTGGTCGCTCAGTGATTGCCTGGGCGCCGCACGCCCCTCGGCAGGGGCAGGGCGAGTGGCTCCACGACCCGGCCCTGACCTGCCCGCGTCCTGGTCCTACGTCCTTGTAACTCGACTCTGTCCTCGCTCGACCCCAGACCCTTACCCGGGCTGTTTGCAAGCCCCGGAGGAAGTGAAAGCGTCGAGTACAGTAAGCGACACCCTCAGCCTCCGCGCGTACACAACAAAAGCCCTGGAAACCGCGCCTGCCCGGGACCACAGCCGCTTGCACCCCCTCACGGGGCACCCGAGCCCTCCCTTTCCCTGGCTTGCGTGGGGACCAGTCTGACTTTCGCACTTCCCCAGGCCTCCCTCCCAGCGCTACCACCCGGAGGAGCGACCCCACCCCCGTGGCTTTCCCTTCAGTCCCCGTCCCACGGACGAGGGCAGCTCCTTGTAGTTGAAAATGGGTTCAGAAACGTGTAGATGAACGATGGTGGTGGTCGGTGTGCAGCCAGGGAAGAATTTGGGCCGACAACAGGGTGGGAAGGAGGCTGGGGGCGGGGTGGGCTCCCGGTCCGGCCGAATGGAGGGGCTGGAGGTTTGGAGGTGCTGGGATGCGGGCCTGGGAGTTGGGGGTCGGCCTTGGGTGCCGTATAGACCTGAACTGCGCGATAGTGCTCTAAGATGATCAGCCCAGTAGTGGACCAAACACACCCGTCAGGAGGGCCGGCGGCTCGAATCGCGCGGTCAGGATCCCTGGACGCCTTAACAATAAGCAGCGAGTTGGGGAGGGAGGCGGTGTCCTCCGTGGCCCATCCTGGCTGCGGACCCCGCGCTGGCTTGGGCAGCTCCGGCTAGGACAGAGGGGTCCAGGGGATCGGCGGGAAGGGGCTGCGAGCCTGGTGATTGACAGCCCGAAATCTGATCTTGTGAAAGAGACGTGGAGCCAATAGGAGGCAGCGATCCATCAGTTTGGATTGGAGGCCCCTGGAGGAGAAGTAGAGGAAAAACCACCGAATTGAGCTCTGTCAGAGGCGCTCTCGGCTTCCAAGGGGAAGTGCTGGGCGATAATTAATGTTTTTATTAAATTTGGAGGGAATTTTTTGCAGCCGTTCGCCTAGCGTGGCCTTCAGGTGGGTCTTTCCAACAACTTTTCATGTCTCTCCAGATAATTGCATGGTTGTGGGTTGCAAAAACTATCCTTATGAAAGAGGTGTCTCTGTCTCTTTAGTCCCGTTAGGTGCAAAGCAAGTCTCGCTGATCGCCATTGCTAGTTTTGCACACGTTTGCGAATCAGAGCTGCCCGGGCACACCGACGCGCAGGGAGACATCAAGAGTGTAAATAAATACATTGCCTCCGGTTCGGATTTTTGCTCCTACCGAAAATATGTAAATTGTGAACTCTCTTGGCTCTCTCTGGATCCAGGTGAAGGAGGCGGCGTAGGGAGGGTTATTTTTGTGAATGGGACTGTCGGAGGGTAATTAGCTATGCAAATTCAAGAGCTTCATTCATGATTTTTTTTAAAGCCTAAAGCCATCTTGTTCCCCTCTAGGTTGATAGAAGTCCAGATCCCGAGGAAATCGCCAGATAAATGCTCCAAATATAAAATACTGAGCTAATATTTGCGAAGAGCAGCAGAATGGATGGATTTTATGACCAGCAAGTGCCTTACATGGTCACCAATGTGAGTGATCAGTTCGAAAGTTGCTGTTTATAAACTTGACTCCGAGGAGGGGTGGGGGGAGGGAGAAGGGAGGGGGCAGGGGTAGGGATTGCAGATACTTTATCTGCTTTGTTGCCACTGTAGGGCGACTCTGCGTCTATAAACCCAGTCTTCAAAATGAGCGTACCTTTCAGTGATTTGGATAAGACAGAGTTTTGTTTTTAAGATCCCTTTTTTTGCTGATTAAAGTGCCCAAGATGAGTGGAAGAGGAGTTGGAGGGCAGCAGCAGCTGCTGAACTCAAAGTTTGTGGCTGGGTTTGTCTGCCACATTGAAAAGAGAGAAGTTGAGACAAACGCTGACACTTTGTGTTTACATGGGGTGTTTTGGTTCTCCTTGTAATTTTTTTTCCTCAGTCTTTCTTTCTCTCTCTCTCTCTCTCTCTCTCTCTCTCTCTCTCTCTCTCTCTCTCTTTCTCGTTTTCATTTCCCTACTCTTTTTTGCTTTTATTTTTTTGAGGGTGGCTTTTCCTGAGAGAATAAATTCGTTGTAGTTTACTCTAGTTCTCAGCCAGTTTACAGATGACTTTAAGTGTTATAGCTTACTGTTGTTTTGATGGTGAAAAGCCCTAAATGTATAAGGCTCATAAACAGTAGTCTTAGGGTCCACTCAGAGAAGCTCCTCTCCCTGGCAACTACATGCTCAGCCTAAGCTTTTCACTGTCAAATAGAGGCAGAAAATTAATATTATAATTGGTCCTGTGAACTTTTATTTTTCTATTCAGGGAAAATTTCAGTAAGATTATGTTATGTATGCCTGTGTACTTCTTTTGTGTGACATCTGAGGTTTACATTTTTAAAAAGGATTTTATCTTTCCCTTTGTAGAGTCAGCGTGGGAGAAATTGTAACGAGAAACCAACAAATGTCAGGAAAAGAAAATTCATTAACAGAGATCTGGCTCATGATTCAGAAGGTGAGGTTTGATTTCGAGCTGAATCCCCCCTTTTACCTGCACTCTCTGCCCTCACTAAGTAGGAAAGCGCCCAGCCTGATCTAAACAAAAATGAACTTGGAAGTTACTGAATCTAACCAAGACTTTTACTTGGAGTAGTTCACATAATATGACAGTTTGCATTAGAGAATAGTTTCTGCTCCTGTTGCAAACTAACGAAACAAGGAAATAAAAACTGAGCTGTGACATTCTTATTTTAATCATTGTTTTGTGTTGACACTTGCCTACATGGCATACAACTAATCTCGTACCTGAAGATAGCAATTTAAAAGTATCCAGCACAGAAGGCAAAGTAAGCAGCTATGTACACTGTGTATGTTTTTCTTTCCATTTTATTACAAGCTACATGGTATAAACCGTTACTTGTTTTCTCATCATTGTTCCACTAAAATCACATACTATCCTCAAGATGTTCATGCGCATGTTTGATGACTGCCTTGTGCAGTCATAACATCTTGTTAATAGGCCTTAAAGTGTTCACTGAATCATACTTTAGGCCTAATTAATACTTATGATACTATTTGGGAAATTAGGTTGTAGATTCCCTTTATGAACTGTTGGTTAGAGGTCAATGTATTATACATTACTTCAGCCATATGGGGGCATTCATAATAAATTGAAGATACTTAGGTTTAATTATCAAAGTTCAGTTCACAGTTTAAATAAGATGGACTGAATAATTCGGAAACTTCCTTAAATCTCCTATTTGGCTGTCACCTCCTCTCTCTCCAGTGTAACAATATATAATTTGGGACTAGATAGTAAATCAGTACTAGGTGATTTTGGCTTTGACTTTTATAAGTCTATTAATATACAAATTTTAATTTGCATTTAAAGTTGTTCTTTATAATTTTGAGATATTAAACCCAAAAACAGTTCTGTGAGAATTAACCTCTTACATCTTGTACATAAGATTCAGGTGATGTAAATAAAATGCTTTACAGTTTTTCCAAAATTTCTCCTACTATTGTTTTAACAAGAGTTGAGTATATGTAAGAAAGGTTTCTGTGAATAGCCCATCTTCAGTTCAGCATGTTTTGCAAATTGTGGATTATATGAATTTTTGGTACCCTGAGTTTATTTATTAAGTTAGTTGTTAAAAAGAAGGGGAAAAAGGATGATTGGCTTTATTAATTGGTTGAGTGAAGAATTTCTTAGTGTTGCTTAACAGACATCGGAGGAGGATTACTGTGCTATGTGTTATGAGTAATATTTTTTCTATCAACTCCCTTTACCCAAAAATTCACACTTAATTCCAATTTCATAGCAAATGTTTCCATTTAGTGAAGTCTAAAAATTTTTAAATCTTACTTTTGTCTTTAAATTGTTTTTCAGAACTCTTTCAAGATCTAAGTCAACTGCAGGAAACATGGCTTGCAGAAGGTAAGGCAAAAAAAAAAATGCTTAAAGGAGGGGAAAAAGCAACTCTAGAAGGGGGGAAAAAAGTCTTGAACTTGCTGTCTTAATGTTCAGCCCAATTAATTGAGCTCTAAAAGAGCCACCTCATGTGTCATGCATACATTAGAGCCTCTGATGAGTTTGTCTTTGGGGACTCCGGGGCTGCACTACCCAGTGTCATCACAAATTACCAGGAGAAACTGCTTCCAGCTCACAATCACATCTGCTTTTGGCAAGAACTAATGCACCAAGACTTCAAGTTCTAAGCCTCTGTTCAGATTTTAATTGCAATTGATCAGGTTTATATTATTGTACCTCGAGAGACCTCCTAGAGCCAGAACCCCGGCTGGCTTGCTGTTTCCTCTAGAGGAGCGCATATCATTATTTGGTGTTCTGGTGGAGGACTTTTCTGATGGCAGAAATTAGTTTCTCTGGGTTCATCAGGACGGGATGCTTCAAGATTTAAGTGCAAGTGGCTTCTTTCCACCTTGCTCACAACACAGAACAATAGGTGTGTATCCAATTCTTAGGGAATCTGTGGATTTAAAATAAAGCTTTCGGGGATTTAAGGATGTTAAAAATGTTTTCTGTCTATTACTATGCATGTGATGTTTGTTGAAACTGACCTTTGCTATTTTGTCACTTTTATTAAGGTTGATTTACTATAACAAGGAGACATTTAAAGGCATTTTAAAGTATTTTTTGATAAAATTGAATGGTGCAACCTATTATATTTCTATTGCATGCAACTTTATTTATAGAAACAATGACATACTGCTTCACTAAAGCTTTGCACATCTTTACAAATGTCTAATGTTGAGAGATTTTTTCTTGGCATCTATATTTTAAAGTTTTCCTTCCGGATTTGGTATAATAACTATGAAATTCTAGTTTTATGACTTGATTGGTAGGAAACAGAAGAGCAACTTATATTTAAGCACTGAATATATTGTATTATTCGTGTGTTCATCTACTCTGAGAAATCTGTTATTATTATTATTGTTTGGAACCAATTTTTAAGGTGGTTGAAAGGAGAAGGAGGGTCTCTAAGGGGAGCCCCAGTGTGGCGTAGCTCCTTTGCGGCAGACTGGTGTTTTATTAAGTCCTCCTGAATGCCGTTGAGGAAGTTGCTGTTTGCATGTAAAATAAGTTTCTTTGTTTTGCTGATATTCTACTTCAAAGAGCTTTAGCAATCTTTATGAATCTTTCCAGTTAAATAGCTTTCCTACCAGTCTTTGGAAAGAGCGATTGTGTTTGTTTGTTAATGAAAGGTAAGTATTAGTGAAAGTTTTGACTACAATTGAAGGTCATTTGGTTTGTCTTTCTAAATGAAACTCCTTGCAATCGATTACTTATTATTGCAACATTAGCCATATTTTCAAACATAACTTTCCTGAAAAAAAGAAAAAAACTTCAGGAAGGTTCTTGTCTTCACTTCCATCTTTTGCTAAGTTGAAGGTTGTGGGAATATTATGTTTATGAGAGAATCTATTTGCTTCTCCAAAATAACCTCAATGTCTATTTTAATTGTTGTGGAGGATTTGTTGAGTCTTAAGATGTTCAAATGTGATTGATTCCAAATCAGCGCACTTGCTGGCAGATTTTGAATGTGCATAGCAGCTCTGTTCCTGGAATTTTAAAATGTGAATCTGCGACAGACAGGCTCTTACCATTCTATAAT